ATGAAAAGGCTCACGGATGTGAGTTATCCTGACACAGTCTGTGAACAATACATCTTGGCTAGAAAGCCGTATTCAAGGTTGAACATGGAGTGAGCTCCAGCCACTGGTTGGGTCAGCAGTGGCTTTATATGCCATGCTTAGGAGCTTGGTTTTTATGCTGAAGAAGACAGAAAGCCTTTGAGGAGTTTTGCTTGTATAAAGGTCATTCTGGAAACAGTGTGGAGAATGGATTGACAACAGGTAATGCGTTGGTACATTGTGTCAGGGTTGCTCTGTAGAATAAAGCAGAAGTGATGGTAGGTCACTTCGGAGGCTAGGTCCTAACAGGCATTACATCTTCCTCCTTGTTCTCATGGATTGCTTGCCCTGGAGGACTTGGGAGCACCTCCATGGTGAGGTCCACATGGCAAGGGACTGAGGCCTCCTGCCAAGATCCAGTGAAGAACTGAGGCCTCCAACCAAAAGCCATGTGACTGAGCGAGCTGGGAAGCAGATCCTCCAGCCCCAATCAGTCCTTCTGATGACTGTGGCCCAGGCTGACAACTTCACTGCAAATCCATGAGACACCCAGCTAAGTCTTTCCCAGATCCCTGCTTCTCAGAATAAATGTTTTTTAAGCATTTTGCAGATAAGTTGTTATAAATAGATAATAATACAAATGTCTTGGGAAAACAGATAAAAACAACACTTTCATAGTTGGATAAGTGAGTCTGGAGCACAGGGAAGAGGTCTGGGATAAAGGGAGGGAAGGTGGGCAATGGTTAAAATCATGAACGTAGAAAAGAGTCCTTGAAGAGAGTGGTGGAAGGGAAGGACCAGACAGCCAAGGACATGATACTGGGAAACGCAGCATCTAAAGGACAGTTGGAGGGAGAGGAGCTGATGAAGGAGGAATGAGCATTGGAGGAGAATCAAGAAGGAGTGGATGGAGCATTTCAAAAAGGAGGTGTCAAACGGTATGAATGTCAGGGTTGAAGGTGAGGACTGAAAAATGTCCGTGGGGCTTACCATCTTGAGGGGTGTGTGTGCCCTTTGGAGCAGCTTCCTGCAGGGAGGTGGACAGAAGCCAGACTGTAAGAGTCCAGGAGGTGGAGTTAGAACTGTGCAGACTACTCTTTGAAGAAGCTTGGCTGGAAAGGGAAGGAGACAGATAACTGGAGGGGATTGGAGTATAGAAAGGCTCATCTATTTTGTTTTTAAATCCAAAGATACAGGAGAGAGGGGGTATAACTGATGGGGAGGCTTTGGGAGGAGGGAGAAAATGGGGTTCAGATCAGAGGTGGAGGCATTAGCCTTTGGCCATAGGAATGACACTTTCTGGCAGAAAGAGTGGGGGCAGTGGTGCAGAGAAATGTTGTACTTTGGGGGGTTGCGCTGGGAAAAGCTGGGGGATGAAAAGGAAGTTAAGCGAGTTTCCTCCTGAATGTCTCTGCTTTCTCTTGGGAAGTAGAGAACTCGGTGGGGAAGGGTTTGGGGCCTGAAAGAGGGGTGAGAGTTTGAAAGAGCTGTTGTGGGGAGAGGAGGACCCAGCTACAAAGAGCCTCGAGGAAGGCTATGTTTGGAGGGAACGGCCCACTGAGCTGGGGGACCACTGGTCTTCAGGGGCTCGGACCGCATTAGTCAGGGTTCTCCAGAGAGACAGAACCAACAGGATGTGTATATAGAGACAGATTTATTTTAAGGAATTGGCTCATGCATTGTGGAGGCTTGGCAAGTCCGAAATCCAAAGAGGGAGGCCAGCAGGCTGGAGACTCAGGAAAAGAGTTGCAGTTTGAGTCCGAAGGCAGTCTGCTGGCAGAACTCCTTCTTTCTCATAGGGAGAGGGTGGAGGTGGGTCTCTGTTCTGTTAGAGCCTTCAACAGATTGGATGAGACCCACCCTCATTATGGGGTAATCTGCTTTACTCAAAGCCCACTTTTTAAAAGTTAATCTCATCCAAGAAACACTATCACAAAAATATCCAGAATAACAGTTTGACCAAATAGTTGGGCACCATGGC